CACCGTCACCCTCACCACCGTCACCCTCACCACCGTCACCCTCACCACCATCATCACCGCCACCATCATCACAACCATCATTACCATCATCACCGTCATCACTACCATCGCTGCCGCCATTATCGTGAGTGCCAGCAGCGCCACCAACCCCCTCCTCACAGCACCTAGCAGCCACCTCCCCACCCATCTGTCTCCTCCAAGGAACAGGGACCCTCTGCCCCAGGCTGCACACTTGTGTTGAGCAGCTCACAGTCCCTGCCTATGACCTCGCCCCGTGTCCCTTCCCCTCCCACCCCTCCCGGGACAGGAACAGTTTCAAATAGTCATCAGAGAATATTTGGGGAAAAAAAGTACAAATGAAAAGCAACAATCACCCATATTCCACAGCCTGGCAATAGACAATTTAAAAAACCTTTTAGAGTACCAAATAATGCAATCCTTTCCAAAAAAAAAGAAAAGTCAGAAAACAATGAAACAAATTATCTTGATACTTGTTCCTGTTGTACGACTCCCATCTTCTAGCCCTTTCCTGACGCATGTGCTTCTTACATCATTACATCCTTAATGCACACATAATTCTACATGCTGCTTCCCCTCTATTACACTGTTGATGTGTTTATATATATCACCACCCAGTCTTTGTAATTATCACTTTTAATGACTGTCTAGTATTCCTTTGAGTGTGTGTAACATAATTTACTGAACTACTCCCTGATTGTTGGACATTTCAGCTGCATCCATTTTTTTTTCCTGGTCATTAAAGTACTGTCTAAATGGATATCTTCAGGCATGTAGCTCTCCCCATATTTTGGATAATTTCTCCAGAAGAGCATCCCAGTGGGGGCATTATTGGGTCAAAGGCGCTGAGCAGTTCAGCGGTGCCCACTCTACACTCTGCCAAATCATTTTCTAAAAGGGCTAGTGTGGCTTTTAGAGCCACCACAGCGTGGGGAATTCTTTTTCATTTTTTCTCCTCTCTCTCTCTCTCTCTCTTTCAATTGGGTTGGAATGCAGTGCCTCTGAGCCACACCTCATCCCCTCACTGGGGAATTCTAGGCAGGTGCTCTATCACTGAGCCATACCCCAGCCCCTCACTGGGGGATTCTAGGCAGGTGACCACTGAGCCACACCTCATCCCCTCACTGGGGAATTCTAGGCAGGTGCTCTATCACTGAGCCATGCCTCAGCCCCTCATAAGGGTAGGCTGACCTTGAACTCATCTACAGCCTTGAGCCCAGTCTTCTTACCTTATCCTCCTGTGTATCTGGAAGGACAGGTCTGTTACCACAATCCTCTTGCTGGAATCAGGATAGGCCTGGAAAAGAGTCTGTAAAAGCAAGGTTTTCAGGGTTTATTTCCCTGTGAGTCCAGCTCCACCAAGGACAGAGCCCCATCTTGGGACTCAGAGCACCCCAGGCCAGTACCCTACTCTAGTTTCAGGCCTTGTGACCTGTTCTTGGGTGTGTCTGGGGCAGCAGGACCTGCCCAGTCTGGCCTTGCTCCTATCAGCACAAATGGCTTTAGGTGCCTTTCTCCAGCTGTGTTCCTTCTTTTAAAAAGAGATTTCCTTTTCTTTTTATCTAAGTGCACAGGGGAAGGGGGCACGTGCACGTGAGTACTGGTGAATGCAGAGTCCAGAAGAAGGCAACAGGTCCCCTGGAGCTGGAATTATAGGCAGTTGTGAGCTGTCTGATGTGGGAACCTAATGTCGGTCCTCTGCAAAAGCACTTTGCAAACTTCTTTTATTTTTTAATGTAGATTCTGTTATGTGCATGGGCGTTTTGCTTGCATGTATGTCTGCATGCTGGGCATGCCTTGTGATCACAGAGCTTATAGTTGAGTGCTGGATGCCCCTGGGACTAGAGTTAAGAACAGTCGTTAGCTATTTGGGTGCTGGGAATTGAACCAGAGTCCTCTGGAAGAGAAGCTAGTGTTCTCAACTACCCAACCATCGCTCTAGTCCCTCAGTTTACATTATTTGCTGTAGGGTCACACCCCTCCCCCAACACAGGGTGAGGTATCCCAGCCTGGCCTCACACTCACTGTGTAGTCAAGAATGGAGCTGAACTCCGGATCTTCTTGTCTCCACCTCCAAAGTGCTGGGATTACAGGCCTGAACTACCAGCCTGGTTTATGCAGTGCTTGGGGTGGAATCTAGAGCTTTGCCCACGCTAGGCAAGCACTCCACCAACTGAATGGCAGCCCCAGCCTGCACCCCCTTATTTAGTAGCAGGGGGCAGTGATCTAGACAGGAATGGACAGCCAGATGGACAGGTTGGCTGAGTCAGAGGCAGTGTCTTGCCTCTCTGTCTCTGGGCCTGCTCCTGTTCCTCTGGCCTTCAAAGCCACAGCCATTCATCATGGCTAATGAACACAATGGGACGGGGTGATGAAAGGCTCTGTGTCCCCCCCCCCCCCGGTGCCTCTCTGTGGGCCACCGGGATTCCCTGGGGCCGACCATGAGACTCCATCTATGACAAGCGTGGAGGGCAACACCTTGTTTTCTCATCTTCTGCCAGCCTGGGTCCCAGCTCTGTCCATTCTTCTCAAGAACCTGGGGGTGGGTGAGGACTTGACCCACACAGAGGAGAAACTGAGGCGCAGGGGCACAAAGGCACTCAGCGACCTCAGGCTCCTTGATCCTTGATCCCTGACTGGGGTCTCCACAGCAGCACTGACGGCTGTGTCCCCGGAGAACAAGGAGAGCCCTAACTGCAGAAGAAGCTAGGAGCATGAGTCCAGGCAGGGCTGAGGATGGGCCCCACTTCTTCCCAAGAGCGGCCTCAGCTTTAGCATCTGGGCCGCACGTGCCCAGCTGAGCGCCTGACTCAGCCGTCATGGAGGGTAAGGCAATGGGGAGGGCCAGGGGTGGATCAGGGGCGGGCTAGGTCACCCTATCCCCTCCAGCCCCTGTGAGAACTGCCCAAGGCCAATCTTCTCACCTGCCTCTCTGCCCCTCCCCCACCCTGCCCCTCCCCTGCACCTGACCTCCCAGATCCTGCTCCCAGCTGGTTAGAAACCTTATCCACACAGCCCAGAGAACACTCACACAAGCAGATCTCAGCTTGGCCAGGAGGGAGGGCTGGGGTGGGAAGACCCTGCCGGAGCCTGACACACCAGAGGATGGGAGCACCACCCATATTCTGGCTCTTTTGCCACCAGCTTTTCTATGGGACCTTGGGCAGGTGCACGCCCCTCTCTGAAACACAACTCTTCCACCCAAAGAATGTGAGTATAACCAGATGATTGTACAGTCACCTGGGACCCTGGCCCTCTCTTTAAATCACTGGACCTCAGTTTCCATAGCTATAGAATGGAGTCCTAAGTCCTAAGCCTCAAAACTAAGAGACACAGAAGGCAGTGGGGGACCTCGGACAGCCCTAGCCAGGGGCCCTGCCGTGCCTTGCCCTGGCAGGGCCCTGTGCCCCACCACCAACTGGGTGCCCAGAAAGTCCCTTCCCCTTTTTGCAGCACTGAACACAGCTCCCCTTCCCTGAACCCTGTCCCTGGCCCCTCCTCTGCTTCTAAGGACCGCTGGCCAGCAGCTGAGCTCACATGAAACCGCCATGTGTTTTTATTTTGGTAAAGGCGTTAATCCACTGGAACAGGGGCCTCTCAGCCTGGTCTGGGGCCTTGCCAGTTCTCAGAGCAATCAGGGGTCAGGGGTCAAGAAAGGTGAAGACAGGGAGGTGCTGGGAGCCTGTCGGGGGCCAGGATCCGGGATCTAGGGGGGCTGACCCCTGATCATCCGCCTGGCATGGCAGCCCTATGGACAGGAAGGGAGCCACAGGAGGGAGCCCTTCCCTTCAGTTGGGCTGTCTTCCTTCGTCCCACTCCAGAAGTTTGCAACACACACACACACACACACACACACACACACACACACACACGCAGCTGCCTCTATTGTCCTAGAAAAGAGATCGCTATGGGGACCTTGGGCTGGGTGGAGGCGCTGAGTGACACCTAAGGCGTCCTAGGCATCCTCAGGCCTGAAGCGAAGCACACGCTGCTAGGCGGCTGCCATCCACCTGACTCACTGGTGGAAGGTTTTGCCCTGAATTGTGCCCCCACCTCCCTGGCATGCCCTGGTGGCGGCTCCAGTCGACTCCCCCCACTCCTGCTTCCTCACCTGGCCTCTTCGGACGGTGTCCGAGAACACGAGGAAGACCCAGCGACAGCTCAGCCTGAGTTCACAGGAGCAGACTCTCTATTTCCAGGGGCGGCATCTTGGCCCAGCTGCTTTCTTCCATCCCAAGTCCATCTGTCTGGCTGAAATCCATCAGATATACTGCCCTGGCTGGATACAGTGGTGGCTGAACTAGAGACAGGTTGGTGGGAGGCAGGAGGAGGTGAGGAAAAGTGGGGGAGCTAAAGTAGAGGAAAGGGGATGGCAGGAATCCAGCCAGCCCAACCCTGACTGTCATGACACCTGGACATTATGCCTCCGGAATCCTCAGACAACGGACTATTTCTGGATTCCTGGGACCAGTACCCAAACACACTTACTCATGGGACTCCCGGAAGCCCCAGGCATGTGTTCCTGTCCTCCTGTCCACCCTCCTCCTCAGCACCCCAGCGCCCAGCCCAGGCCTACAGCGGAGAACCAACCAAAAGATACCCCCACCTTAGTAGAGTCGGGGTCTCTGTAGTCAGTGTTCCCCACGGTATTGGCATGAACTTGACCGCTGAGCTGACTCGGTTTTTCGTTTGTTTGTTTGTCAGCTTGTCTCAAACTTGAGTCATCTGAGAAGGAACCTCCTCAGCTGAGGGGTCACCTCCCTCAGATTGACCTGAGGGCAAGTCTGACGGGCATTTTCTTGATCGATGATTGATGTGAGAGGGCTCAGGTCACTAGGAATGGCACCACCCTGGGCTTGGTGGTCCTGGGTTCTATAAGAAAGCAGACGAGTAAGCCATGAGGAGCAAGCCAGCACGCAGCACCCCTGCACGGCCTCTGCTTCAGTTTCCGCCTCCAGGTTCCTGCCTTGAGTTCCTGCTCTGACAGAGTATGAGATGAACCCTTTCCTCCTGGGTTGCTTGCTTTTGGCTGTGGTGTGGACCACAGTAACAAGAAAAAACAAAAACAAAAAAACTAGGACAGTTGTCAGCCTCTGCTGTGA